TTTTAAGAACAGTTGGCTGATGTCTTTGACACAGGCAAAAGGAAAACTAATACATTACATAAACAAGTTGGGCATGATTGACATCTATGCTCAGCTTAAGGGGGAGTGTAGAGAAACTGGGCCAGATGGGCCCTAGTGTTTTATCTTGTTTCATTTTCTCTTATGTGTTATATTAGTGTTAACGGGCCTTGTCCATGTGGACTTGTTAACCATCTTTTTTATTTCTTTTAAGTTATGTTTAAGAGTTGGCCACCCCATTAAGGGCAATATTGTAATTGATTCATAATTATTAGTTTAATAAAATAGTTTAGGAGAATGGAGAGAAGATAAATTGAACTCTCTTCTCCTTCACTCTTTTCTTCTTCCTCCTCTACTATTTCTCCTCTTCTCTATTTCTGTTTTATTTTCAGATTTCTATTCTGATTTTATAGGACTGAATCACATCTTGGAGTAGGTTTCTAGATTCTATTGTCATTGTAGAGAAGATGGGCCGAATGGCCCATAGGCTGTTTATTCTTTCTTGTTATTTATGTTTTTCTGTAGTGGGCCTTATTCTGGGTCCATCCTGTCTATATTAAGGTCTTTGTAAATTCTTGCCCAACTAAGGGCCTCCTTGTAATTATTCAAATATATCTTAATAAAATAGTGTTAGGGTGCTGAGAKAGWGKAGGTTCSAAACTCTCATTCTCAGACCCTCATTGCCGAACTCTCAAGCTCTCCTCTCTTCAGTTTTCTTCAGTCATCCACCCTTGAATCCCTTAAACCCCCCTTCTAAAACCAAAATCTCAGTTCAAATTTGAAGTGGAAAGACTCTAGAAGCAAGCAATGGGTTTCTTTTGAAGACTAGAGAGTGAATAGAGCAAAGGGAATTGGGATTTTAAGGGGGTATCACCTAACCAAACATCTTCTCAAAAAATTACTTTACTACCATTTACACAAACCACACCAAATTTGTGTGAAATTTAAGAAAATAGGAAGTACCTTGTCAATGGCTTTCCAAGGAGAAGTTGAAGCATGAAGTAAGACCTTTGCATCCCATCCATTGCTTGAAGCACCATGAATGCTTACTATGGAATTATACCACAAACTCACCTTCTCTTGAGGCAATGCCACAACCATTTCCCAATTAAAGTAGTGTTCTTGTGTAACAAATTTCCTAAGCCTAATCCCCCATTGCTCTTGGGTCTACACACTATCTCCCACTTCACTAAATGATCTTTCCTCTCCTCCCCTGGTTCCCATAGGAAATCTCTCATGATTTTCTCTAGCTTCCTTGATATTTTGGTTGGAACACAAAAAGTATACAGAAAATAGGTTGGAAGATTCTCTTCAAAGTCGATTTAATCAAAGTAATCATTCTCCCTAAAAATGAGACTTTACTGTGGCAATCAGGCAGCTATAAACATTGTTCATAATCCTATTCAACATGATCGTACAAAACATATTGAAGTGAATTCACATTTCATCCATAGAAAATTGAAAGTGGAGAAATTTGCCTTTTGTAAGATCTGAGGATCAACTTGCTGACTACTTTACTTAAGGAGTTCACAAGCCAAAGTCGTTTGTAAGCTAGGCAAGCCGGGCATGATAGATACGTTGTAAAGGTATTTTGGGTTTTTTCCTTCTTTTCTATTCGGGCGCCCAAGTAAGGGCAAACTTGTACTTTTCTTTTCAAATATAAGAGCAATGTTTCTGGTGTGAATAGCAACAAGAGACACCATTCGTTATTCTTCTCTTCTATTCCTTATCTCTTCCCTTCTCTTTTTCTTTTTCTGTTCTTCCAGCTTCACATTCAACAACTATTCAAATTTGAATTGCATTACCTATTGTCAGACTCCTCTTCAAACTGTCGAGTAGAGGAGATTTAAAACACCACCAAAGCGATCTGGTTCAACTGGGTTTGAGGCATTTAATCCTCTATATCTAATAGCGACCAGTCCACTTAAGTAGCTTTTTGAAGATCAATTAGAAATAGGGCAGGAGAAAGAAAGCTCTATTTGTGACATTCAAAGCGGGCGCTTCTATCACAATGTGTAAACCTGCTCTGATACCATATTTGAAGTGAGTGAAATAAAGAAATGAAAGGAAGAAATCAAGCCAGAAAGTTTCAGGTTGAAGCAAAGAGAATGAGAAGAGAAAAAAGAACTAGGGTTGAAACAGTAGAGATCAAGTATCAGCTTCACTAACTGCTGCCCACATTTATTCATTCACTAATAAAATAGTGAATTACAATTTTGACCCTAATTAAAAGTGAAGAGAAATATCATAAAGTAAAAAAAATGACCCTGCCAACCATAAATAGATAATAAAGAAAAATCTAACAGTTTTTAAAATTGAACTGAAGGTTCCCCAGTAGTTATAGAAACATATGGCCAAACCCCATCTGATGGTCATTGGTTTAGACGTTGATACTTTGTGGTATATCAACTGGGATTTGACACTGATATGTAGGACAAAACTATCATTCACTTTACATAGAAGGGTCGGGCCTCTATAATAGTTTCCTTGGACTTAAGGATATAATTGCAAATGCATTAGTTGATATCTTTGTAATTCTAGGAATTCTTTCTAAACTCTACCAGTGATTATAGAGAATGGAATCAACATTCCAATCTAAGAGTATGGAGACAAGTTATCTCCTAGCTAAACCATAATTCTTAAGAGATAAAAACCCTAATGGATCTCACACCCCCCATAGACTCTTTATATATTTTATTTAGGACTCTCAAAGAGTGCAATTTGACCATCCCTAGAGAGCATATCGAATTGGAACAAAGGTGTTCCCAATAGACCTTGCTTTGAGTGTAAGTGTTACAACAAATGTAAACTCTCCTGTAGAGGAATTGATTGTTTTTCTAGGATTGTGAATGCTAAAATATTTTTCTGATAATATATTCAACAATAAACTTGTTCAGTCTCTAGGACAAAGTATCTATAGATTGAATTTATAATAGTCAAAATCTCCATGGAGATCTTGGGTTTTCTACTGAAATACATTACTTATCCTTGCTTCCTTTTCATCTTCACAATCCTCTGTCTATATCCATGCAAGACTACCCAAAAAGAGATCAGTCATGAGTAATGGCCAGATTTTCTGATGTTCTGTTTTTTTTTTTTTTTTTTTTTGATTTCTGTTCTATTTTTTACAACCAATAAATTTCATTACAAACAGAAGAAATGCATTAATGGCCTCTAACAAGGAATGAGAACCTAAATAACATTAAGATGGGCATTCAGAAGATTGAAAAGTTAGAACAGAAAAGTGAAACACAAAATATTTGGTCTTAAGAAGACAATATTGAGGTTTAGTCATTATTATTTTTGTAATGATGTTTCACATGTAGGACTAAACAAATTAAAAAAATGTTGGCCAGGTTAGCATTAAGCATAACAAAAATGGACTATAAAATAAGAACATACAATGGTTCATACTTTATAAAAGAAAAAACCAATTATATATAATTTTTTTATTGCAACTAATTTTCAGAACTAATTACTGAAGATGCGAAAAAATTGCTTAGGTAACTAGGCATCTTATCATCATATTACCATTTTCCAATAGGTACATGTGAATCTTCAAATTTAAGATGGACAAGAACTTCTAGTAACAATAGATTGCATATCCTAATCTCCAAGGACAAGAAGAGAGTAAAACTCACAATAGAAACTCTGAACGGACAAAGCTTAGGCTTCCCCTTCCGACCATATTTTATTAACTGGGTTCCTTTCTTTAAAGCAACAAGTGCCTTCAATAAGAGAGAATAAAAATATTTTTAGCTACCTCATAATCATAATAATGCATAATAAAATGTAAAAAAGAAATTCCACAATGATACTACAACATGCATGAAATGTAAATGCTCAATCTTTATAAACAGAGTTACCAATATTCAAGATGATACTACTGAACTAAGAAAACAACTCAAGTGTGTCCATATCAAAAACTATCAAGTTATTTGATGTAATTCTTTTACCAAATGATCAAATAAGGGCATAGAGGCAGCTTGATGGATAAGCCAAAAGGTCAACCATGTGAGTTACTTTTTTATGTATCTCGTTTTATTTTGTTTCTTTTTGCTTCTTTGTACCACACTGTTTGGTTATTAGGTTTAAATTAATCTTCCAAATTGATATTAAACAGTTTCATTTGATTCATTTGGATGTAAGAAATCAGTTCCTGAAATAAATTCTAAATAGATGACAAGAAGCTGACACAGTGAAAGCAACAAGACTGTGACAAAAAGCTAACTGAAGTGGAGGCCACAAGCAGCTGCCAAGTAATTGACAAAAAGGAAGAACCACCAAACATCTAACAAAAGCAAAAGATACAACATGCAGCTGACAAAAGTTACTTATGAAGAATGTTAGGTTGAACCTTTTTCATGTATTGATGGTTTGGCTGATAAGAGTTCTTATTAGCCTGTATTTGAGTTTAAGTTGTTATGTACTGGGCCTGTGTTAATGGGCCTAAGTTTGTTTAGTGTTTTAAGTTGTCTGGGTGTCCCATCACTAATCAGGGGCATTCCAATCATTTCCTGTAACATTGTAATGTACTCTAATATAAATAATAGCATTGTCGACTGGGTCATTCAGTTCGACATTCTTAGCATCTCTTGGTCTTCTCCTCTCTTCTACTGCTTTAGCTACAACATTTCAGCTTTCAAAGAACTCTCACAGAGTTTATATATACTCTTGTATTTTATTCTTTTGAGGTAATGGAATGTTGATTATTCTCTTCAGCTTAATGAATTTGTTTACTAACTGCCAACCCTTCTAGCACAACAATATCCCCAGGTTGAGTGATTCTAGGTTCTCTCTTTTCTCTTTATGTTCTCTCTAATTCTGCAAGCAGCAGCTACAACCATCAAGAGCCCAAAAGTTAAGTTTTAAGGATGAAAGAGGTGGTCATGAGCTCAACTGAAGGTACTATAGACCGACTTAAGTTTTTAAATAAATGTTTGGTTGGTCATTTTGTCAACTCAGAACCAGATGTTGAAGAAGTTTGGAGTTGGCTTGTGACTGAATGGAAGCTAAGTAGGCAATTCTAGGTGAGAAGAATCGGCGCGAGGTTCTTTCTATCCTTGAGCGCGAACAAGTTCAAGTCTGGGATCCAGAGTTAAGATTGGGGAGGTGGAATCCTCTCGTCGGTGCACTGCGAAACGTGGGGCCTTCAAGTTTCGTCTGCATTAACATTTTCAGCATTCCTCTCCATGCCTGGAGTTTCCAAACTTTCAGGGATATTGGTTATGCTTGTGGGATTTTTAGGTTCATTGATTCAAGAACTTTGAATTGGAAGAACTTAATGAGTGCACGTATCTAAATTGAGGTGGAGGAAATTCATCTTGTTCCAGCATCTCTTTTTCTTCACTTTGGTGGAGAACTTTTTGATTTAAGAGTGGTTATCGAAGGTACTTACCCTGGCGGTTGACTTGATATCCTCTCCTTGAGTAAGGAGGAAGGAAGTGTATCTCAAGTTCCATCTGATTCAAGAAGGTGGAAGTTGAAAGACTACTCTTAGAGATAGTTTCAAAGGATGAAGATGAGGGTAGTTTGGGAATAAAAAAACATCAGTTTTAGTGGGGTTGATACGACGGCTTTGTGGACTTTTGAGACTTTGGGAAAGGAAAGAGGAATGATTTGGGGGAGAGCTTGAAAAAGGAGGGAGGCGGGGCCCACTCAGTGTCAAGTGACAGGGGTGTTGGAAAGTCTCTTCAAGGGGTGTCCTACGTTGGAGAAGGAGACATCACTGGGGTCCACTCACCAATGCCTTTATCAATTCATGCGAGTAGGCCTCATGTCCCATTCAAGGTAGAGGTTAATAAAAGGTTTGCAACTTCTATTGACACAAACCGTAACCCTGGCTACAACGAAGTTGCTTTGGTAGTTGTGATCAAAACTTGGGAAAATCGGTGGTTTTAGAAGCTGTGAGTCTAGTAGGGAACCCCATTGTGTCTCAAATCTCTAGAAACATCATGGGTGACTCTGGTCATTGTGATAAAAGTAGTAGAGCGGTAGAAGATCTCGAAGATACTTTTCCAAAGAAGAACTCTAGGCCAACGTCCAAGGCCCCTCTCTTGACTAGAAAGGAAATCAAAATTAATGTACATAGGGAGATTCACAAAGAAAAGGACATTGGTCTGACAAAGAAGGAGAATGATGCCAGTGGGTTTGTTGTTGCCACCCTAGAAGGAGACACTGCTCCTGGTGTGGTGGAAGAAAAAATGATGGTGAGGAATTTTGTTACCTATTCCAGTTCGAAGATGAGGTTGCTAATGTTGCTGATCTTCATATTTTTGAGGAAGTGGTTATCGAGAAGTTAGGTGCAGATTTGGGTAGGAGGGGGAGGCTAAGAAGGATTTAATTGGAACTGACTCTGTGACATCCAAAAAGGTTTGAGGAGCCTCTGGAGTTAGATGCTCTCATACTGTTCATGTAACCAAAGTTTTTTCCCGACCGAAGCTTGGTTTGGTTGGGTGTAGGCCTACGAAGAACTATAAAAGGGTGTATAGAAGAAGGAACAATAAAACCTCTGAAACATTAGAGAAAGCTCTTGATATTGAGAACTCTTAGAGATCCTCGAACCCGGGTAAGCAGCTGGGGGTTGGTCATCTTGTTGGTGCTCCTGAAAAGGATTCCAATTTTGGTGTTAGAGAACCTAATAAATGTCTCAAAGAGGAGGTGGAGAAAATCGGTGTTGTCTCTTTCAAGGCAGTGGTCAGAAAAGATGTAGAAATTGATAAAAGTTGGGTTTGTTTTTTTGGGGAGGTGAGGACTTCGCCTTAAAAGATTTTAAAGAGTTTGAGAGGAAGAAGAAGGAAGAAAGATCAAGAAAAGGGGTAATTGGAGGAGGGAGAGATGGGACGAAGATGGTGACAACCAAGAGGAGGTTTTTGATGGGGAAGTTTAGCTTGTCTCTTTTGCTAGTTTCTACCAAGAGGAGGTTTTTGATGTTAGACAGTTTTGTATGCCCTTAGCTTCAATCAGAATGATGTACTTTATGAGTTTATTGTAAATGAATAAAGGTGCATATTTGATTCATGTTCCCTTGGTATGTTTCTGTGTAATACCCTTAAACTAGACACCGAATGAGACTCGTGTTAGTTTAGAATGTTCATAGCTAGTGGGTCGGTCTGGGGAGACCTATCCTGACAAGGCTGACACTAT